ATTTTTTTGCAAATAAATTTCTCCTCGTATTCAGTTAGCGACCGGTTTTATTTATTAGACACTTTTCATGCATGCAATAGCGACACATAATAATTACATTGGCTCATGAATAATTGTTCTGAATCTTTTTCACATGTTAACGAAACCGCGATAACGCCAAGCGCGCAGCGGTTTCGCTGCATTTATTTTATTATTTTATTATTTTATTTCTAAATTGATTGGCAATTTGCACAAGCCCACATGCAAACTATCCGAAGCTCATATCGGAATTCCCGATTAAGCATTCCGTTCACGAGACACCCTCAACCGATTCGTTGCGGCGATGGCGATTCTACGTGGTTGTTCGCCGTTTGCTCGTAAATAAAATCGTCCGCGGAAAATGAAAGCGCGTTCTAATTAAAGGGCGTTCGTCTCAATTTAACCTTACCTCCATCGTACATTAAACACGCTCGACGGACCACTAAGGTCACGGAGGAGTCGTTCGGTCGACCGGTCTTTAAGAAAAATCGTGTATACTCCTCTTTGTTTATTTTCGTTCTCAGATATTTGTAACCAATGTACCTTTTTTTTATTGCCTCATGGTCTCGAATGTTTTGCAGTTCCACGTTCGAATATGAATCCGTGATGCTTTTACGTCGTGGTGCACGTCAATGAGCTTGGAAATACAATTTTCTGACAACATTGTTTCGAGTTATTTGAAAAAATACTTGGACGATTGTCAAGAACATGCAGTACACGTGAATTACACCTCGACATGTGGCTCGGCGAATTTACATTGATAAAGGAGATTGTTTCTGCAAATAATTTTTCAAACTTGCCGAACAATCAATATTTAAGTACAGCTGGCAAATTATAGTTGTTGAATTTTTATAAAATACTCCGAGGAACATAAATTGATTGTTATATTAAATAATCCTGACAGGCTTTAGATAAAAACAAAATATTTGATAGTAGTCCATTTATCCAAATTTAATTTGGATCTTTTGAGAAAAGAATATATTGACTGTGTGATATTTGTGATAATTAATTAATGTATATTGATGTATATTTAAAAAAATGCATTTATATATCATAAAATTAACAATTTAACCGTTTATATTTCTAAAAAAAATCTCACTGCAAGAAAATTGAAAAATATACGGCTACGGATGTTTGTTAATTAATTGTTTTCTTGTGATTGAAAGATTAAATCTCCATCGGACCGAGCTTAAAGCGCTCGTAAGAACGAAATACGATACAGTCAAACATTGCTTTAATTCCATTCGTCTTATATTAATGCAAATATCCAATTGCGCTAATGATATAAATATGAAATTAACTCATTTATAATTAACTCATTTATAATTAATTAATATCATTTATAATTAATTAATATCACAATTAAAATTTGTATAAAATTTTGGATTAGACTTTATATATCTTTTTTAAGAATAAATTATATTTTGAATGTTGTAACAAAAATGTGTTTAATATTAGCAACAAATTATTTTAACTACTATCTGATGCTTAGGCAACGAAGCGATAATTTTTAATTAAACTTCTCCCGCACTTTATTAAAATTCCAGAGGGACGCATTTCCCTCCCTTGCACGGTTCGCAAGCCGGAGCGCGATCAGTCTACTTACAGTAGCCATGCGAATATGCGTGAGATTCTTCCGGCGTCACCACGCCATGATAGCAAGATGTATCATCCAGCTATCACCTGATACGTGGAACGTAATATAATCATGGTGCGAGTATCGTTAAAAATATCTCCGCTCGTGCGGCGCAGCGTGGCCATTGCATTACGTTACTTTGACGCATACATCTGTTACGTGCGTCGCACTGGATTCTCATACGCACGCACAGGGTGTCTCTGAAGTCTTTTAATTTAATTTTTTTAATAAAAAAAAAATTAATGCAGTAGCAAATTAAATTTACAAAGTGTTTATAAAGTCTGAAAAAATGTAGAAAGACTTGGAATTCTTCAAAACTTTTTTTTCTATCTAAAAAAATTGACATCAGAAAATTTTATTGGAACGATAAATTTTTGTTAAAATGTGTGAGAAGAAATTTACATCAACAAAATGCTTGATATTGATAAGTTATGTAAGATATTGTATCCAATCGAATTTTTGACTTGAAGAAAGAATGCACGATATATCCGTAAACACCCCGTATATGAGGCTTTCGCAGCGAGAGGCGTGGAACTTGCTCACTACGTGAGATAAACGTAAATCGGAGAGAGAGGCATCTTCTCTCGTGTGTTCTGTGCAGTGTGCACCTATCCAATGGTCTCGTGCACGTGCTCCTCGCGACGACGCCGCGTCTTGTCGTTCACGCGTCCGGAGAGTTATTTGTGTTTCATTGTAACGCGAGTTCATTCTCCTTTTGTTGCGGCTTCGCGTGCCAATGAATGGGACTACTACTTACGTGTCCTGGCAATATATCACACCATGTGTCATTGTGGAAAAGATCGTTATCGCGGATCGAATATCGACATTTTAGAATTACTTGGCAGATTATGGCGCTTCGACTGTAATCTCGCGCTAATTTGTGATGCCGCGCAGCTAAGATCGCGAAGCTTGTTTTAGAACTGTTTAATAATTTCGTCATTTAGAAGTTATTTTTATAATATAAATAATATGAATTACACAATAAAATTATTTATTGTTATTGTTGCACGATATAAATTGAACAATTATTGGGTTTAAGCTATTACTAACATAATTAACAATTAGTTTATGATTGACCTCTGAAGCGTTAATCTCCGTCAAATGGAACAATGCACTTTTCGCAACTGTAAAGATTGCAATTACGCCGTTTTGTATGGAATTAAGAACATTTTAATGAAGACGATATGTGGGCGTCTCGATTATCTTGATTCATAATGGCATTTTTTCGTTGCACCAAATTAAAGCGTGCTCTAATTTAATTTGCCGCAGAAGGAACCATGTGTGGCGCGTGGCCATAAATTGTAGAATAATTTCCGGATAGAAGCCGCGGCGTAACCGGCTAGAGGCTGTTACAAAATTTTGCTGTCAAAGTCGCTTGGCAGCGAAAGTGTATAACCCAATTATGTTTCTATTACGCGTGATAGTTTTTACCAAAGCCTGATCTTTCAATATCCATCTATACGAGATATAAATTTAGAGTAATTATAAAATAATTATTTTACTATTTCTGCATAATTGCAAAACTGATGTTGCGATCGATAAATAATAATGTCGAAAGATACCGCTTAGGAATATAATGTTTCATATTTTCTCTATAGAACTTTAGTGACACACTGTATAATTATATACAATTAGGTTGTATTTTCGTTACAACTCGAAACAATTTGGCACTTAACGGGTATTTGACTTGCATTTTTTAATTAACTGGCCAAGTGCCACAAGTACCGCGGCTAAACTTTGTGACATTTGGCCCACAGCCATATTTACCAAACTTACACTTGCCTCGTTTAAATAAAATATTAGAATTTGTATGTTAGACACGTATGATACTTACCTTCTCAATCACCGTGTTGAAAATCATCGTCCACGAATTTGCGTGTACTAATTTTAGTTCCGGATTGGCGATAGTACAATTATCGTGTTCCAAAAGCTTCGCATTTGTTCCCACTTCAGGCATGTGTGTTGCAATCGATATCGTTGACAATTTTATGATTCCCGCTACTTCGTGTTTTGTGTTTGCCGCACGCGGACACAATTTATTTTTAGTTAATTTTCTAAACATTTGTTTACGAAACCAATTGGAGATCTATTTCGGTTATTCCATTTGTATTCGTGATGAACGACAACGGCGGCGACGGTGGTGGCGACAATCATTCAAAGTGTCACGTTGCTCGTTTGTCGTCGATAAGATTAAGCGTGTTTATGAAATCGTACGGTTGAACTTTGCCATGCCTTTTCTCTATCCGCTTTTTCGCGACTATACTGATAACGAGCAATAATACAAAAAGAAGTAAACACGGGCAAGCAAATAGACTTATATAACACAAGAAGCGTTTATTATGACTACAGAGAGTAAACAGTAATTTTGTAATAATTTTCCACTTGTATGATTTTTATCGAACAGGATGCAATGAAGATCAATCTTTATAAGCTTTAATTGCATTTGATATGTAATATTATTCGAGTGTACAAATATATTTTGCTACGAGTAAAAGTAAATAATTGGCAATCTTACAGTCATATTTCATGATATTGTATTTTGTTTTATTATAAACACGAAAATAATATTGAAGTTTTTATTTTTGTATTTATAGTGCATTAGTTAGAGTGATTATATAGCTACTTGCTATCTGTTTTTTGTTTGAGCTAATGTATTTTCGAATGCTCATAAAGAAATATAAAAACACTGACTTATATTTATTAATAAACGATTTTGAAATAAGAATGTGTATGTCAGCTTCATAGGCAGTTAATTTCACTGTTTTACTAACATTTTAATAACGAAATTTGCGACAAAGCTCTTGCTTTGCATGACAAAGTGCATACAACATCGTGTTCAGACCCGTAATTTTTCAAACATTATGTCACATTTACCGTCGTCGGAATGTATGATAAAAATGTCGGACAAAATTACCGAGTTATAACAGCTGGTAGTAAACGATTATTGAACGTGTGAAATAAAAGATTTGCCACTAATGAATGAATGTTGCCAACAATAAGTTACAATCAGTGCCGGCAACTTATACTTATATGGAATATGTGGAGAACTCCACACTCGGAATGTGGCCAATTTATTCCAAAATTATGTATATATCTTCAAAACAAACTTGTATTTTGTTTTCAAGTTTCTGAACAAATTAAAGGCCCCATTTTGTAAAAATTTGTTACAGTTTTTCGGACTACCCCCTCTCCCCTCTTCCGCCTAAACGATAGCAGAACTCCACACTCGGAATTCTGCTAAGTTGCCGGCCCTGGTTACAATATTTATGAATCGCGGATAATAATTCTGCAATTTCTCTTCTTGCGTTACTGCTACTGATGTTTTGTTCTTTTTTTTGTGCACCAGGTAGCGCGTCATCTGTAGAGCAGAAGAACGGAAATGGCAACGTCAAGAACAACAAGACGAACAACAACGGTGTTGAGGTGAACAGAAACGAAGATCTAAATGGCGGCGTCGATGCTAAGGGACAAGCGAAAAAGAAACCGAGCGCACCTGGGGGCGGACCTCTGTTACAACAGACGTAAGGACGATTGATATTTGCTCGTTAACATTTAGTCTGAGAAACCTGGCTATATATATATTTTAAAAGATAACTCTTGGTTTCATAACTTTTTTGTATCATATATTATTAAAATTGTATTTGCTTATTTTTTTTTTATTTTACTTTTTTTTATCGTAATTATTTTTTATTTTACAAATAACATATTCTAGGAAAATAGATTATATTTTATATATTATAAAAATAGAAATTTTGTATTGTTTATGCGTATATTAAATACATATTTTGCTAGATATTATTTATGTTTCTTATACTATTTTAAGAGTCGACTATAGTTTTACAGATTTTCACGAATTAAGTATTCATGCTATTGTGAATCAAATTCATATTTTGCATTTGTGTCAACATATTGTAGTGTGGAAGATTTTGTTCAAGATAGCATTTCATTTAGATAGGTTGATATTAGCACTTATTGTTAGTTAGAAAACTCGCTTACTATAACATACAATATACAAACATTTGTCAAAAACTTCCACGTATTTGTACGTAGAGTTTACTTTGAAAGTATACATATGTATTATAATTCGAGTTTCGTAAGCCTCTTATCAAACACTATCGTATTAATGTGTACTCCTTTTTATTTCCTCCTTATATTTTAACGTTTGCTTGAATCTGTTAGAAATAGCAGATATATATCATTGACATCGCTATCAAAACAACAACATGCACTACAAGTTACGCACTTGTTATTAATACTCACTTGTCAGTTGCTTTTCCTGCAAAAATCTCAAGTCGCGTTAATTGCAATTTAACTCGCGTCAAGTGCGTAGCTAGTTGTTTATTAATGTAGTTTATGTTTGCACGTCGCGATAAGTTCGAGTATAGTTTACGTTCGCTTAACCATTGAGATTATACTAAAACATAATTTATCGTACGTAATTGACCTTTTTCTGTGTACCGTGAATTTTTCAGAGAGATATCCACCAGCCAGCTAGATTTCTTCAAGATGCTTGATGAGAAGATCGAGAATGTAAGTCGTGATACTTCAACTTAATCAGTTTTATCGAGAAATAAACAGCTCCTATTTACGGGAACGCTAGTAATTTCCTGTTTCCTGTACAATTTCTACAAAGAGAACAATAGAAATCTATAGAAAATCTAAAGATGATTATCTCTGATATTACGTATTGTATAAGAACATATTCGTTAGAACCACTTTCGTTTAATACAATGTATTGAGATAAAAATTGTTAAAAATTGTTGAGGATAAGATACGGAAGAGATTCAACTTAGATATAATATATTATATATATATATATATATATATATATATATATATATATATGTATATAATTAGAACAACTTGATACTGAATAAAAATATTGAATTATGTCTGTAATAAACTTGTGATATCGCTGATGATTGATTAGCATGATTGCGCAAATTTTTAAAATTTATGTATCAAACAATTTATTCTAACAAAACAATAATGTGTAAAGTCGAAACATATAAAAGCATAAACCTTATTGTAAATTATTCGTTTATTTATAAATATACAACTTTGAAAACGCTGTATGCCGATGCCAAAGATAATTTTGTCATTTGTAGAACATCAGACAAGTCACATTTAATTAAAAATGTTTTGCATTGATATATAGAGTTTATTTGAATTACATTAGAGCATAATTAGCATACTATAATGTTTCAGTCGGATATTTGTTCGACTTTTCCTAAATTATCACTGTACTTTGTTTTCTTCAAGTCTTTTTTCTTATTGATTGCACTGAGTCTTTTATATCTATTTTTGTTTCACACGATCACAAAATCGTTTCACAAAATCACACGATGTATATCGAGTTATTTTCTTCTTTGTCACTTTTGTACAAAGAACCTTTTATCAACCATGTTGGATCAATGAGTTTTTCCAGGCCTATTTTTTACAGAGAAATAATTCGCTATGAACTCTGAATAGACGAAAGAATTTTTATGAAAAAGTGAAGGTATGTTAAAATCGTGTTAGAAAGATTTTAAACACGCGCTAGGAAAAAAAAAAAAACTTCCACATTATTATTATTAGCACGAATATCTTTTCGGTGTAGAGTGATGAATTTGTGATGTAAGTTTAATCAAGCACTCGATCGCGAAGTAGCACTCGCTGAAATTATACAGTCGAGATAATGAAAAAGTTTGCACTATTCATTGCGCGTTGCGATTCTTTTGAAAGTTTAATTAAACTCTCATGATGCTTTTGAGACTTTTGTGTGCGCTAGCTTATTTTTTTCTCGACTAATATCAAAATGCTAAAATAATCAGTCATCTCGGACGTAAAGCTCACCAAGTTTTTATTGTCGAATTTTAGGGTCCGGATTATGACGAAAGCCTCGACACAACCAACCGAGCGGAACGAGTGTCTAGCTTGCTTCGCCGCTGGGAACTGGCTAGCGTGACCTGGTCCAGCGTCTCCGATCTGAACAATACCTATTCGCAGTCGAATCAGAAGAACCGCGTTCTGAGCAGCTCTCGGCAGAGCCTCAGCGCTAAAGATCGCGAGGGTATGAGAAATATAGTGGGTGGCCGGCCGGAGAGTGCCCCAATCTTCGTGCGCAATGCGAATCGCATGGACGGTCTGCAGGACAGCCATCATTGTCCATCACCGAATATGCCACGGCACGTACTCGAGTCTATCACACAGAGTCCGACACAGAGCGTGAAGACAGCAACACCGCCGAGCTGCACGTCGCTGATCGGACCACGTTACATTCAGGACGTTTACGGCAAGAATTGCTCAGTAACGACCGAACAGCAACAAATGAAGATGCACTACGTCGGTCAGAATCCAGTGAACGGCGAATACGTGACGCAGCAGGCGCTCTATCGCGAACAGTACTTGCAGCAGACCGGCATAATTACCGTGGCACCTCAATACTCGGCCGGCACACCAGGCGGCAACGTTCTCAGGAATAATCCGTACGTTCAGCACTTCCAGATCACCGCGAATCCTCAGCACTTTGTCACGCCCGCGCGGGGACGCGGCTTCAACGCTGCGCAGATGACGTGACCGGGATGGGAGCAGCGATTGGCGAGATAAGACTGAATTCTGCGAGAAAAGCCAAGGATTCGAATCAACAAGGGCGATCGTCCCTTTGAAAAGAGTTGTAGAAGAGACGGGGGGAAGAGGCTTGGTGACTAATAAAAGAATAAAGAGAAAGGGAATGAAAAAAAGGAAAGAATGAAAAAGAAAGACGGAGATGAAAACAATGATTTTGTGTTCCTTAACATTCTCGCACTTCGTATCTTTCTCTTGATAGCGATTCTCGCAAGACTCGAGAAAACGTCGACGGCGGCCTAAGCGTATCATCCAGAGATCGAAGAGAGAAGAGAGAAGTGTCGTTTTGCGAGAACTGGCGCCCAAAAAATTGGGGTTCTTTGCTACAAGTGCCAAAATGTTACGCAAGCGATCCAAATGTCGCGAATAGAGAAGGGCTCGCGCTTTTGACTTGACGAAACAGCACTTCGTTCTTCTACATCCATTCGTCCTGATGCGAGGAAACGACTCGATGTGCGTAAATACATCTTGTTTATCCATACCGTTTCTGATTTCTCTATTTTCTGATCAGTGACGTTTGCACGTCTCCACCAACGTGGATGTTTCGGGAATGGATGCACACGTGAGCGGTTTCCGTCGTGCAGCGATTTTTATGATTGTATTAACGAGATATCCGGGAAGTATTACCGGAAAGATATACGTGTGCATGTACATATGTATGTATGTATGTATGTATGTATGTATGTATGTATGTATGTATGTATGTATGTATGTATGTATGTATGTATGTATGTATGTATGTATGTATGTATGTATGTATGTATGTATGTATGTATGTATGTATGTATGTATGTATGTATGTATGTATGAAGTACATATCTAAAAATGAACAAAAAAAAGAAATCGAGATTAAGATTCTTAATCATACATTATGTATAGATTCGCTGTATGTATATTATATGGATATATTTAACTTAATGTGATGACTGTATATTTATATGTTGACCATGTTTAAAGTTAACGATATATCATAGTTGATGATGAGAGTTTTATATTTCATGTTACAATTACGCTCTATATACACTGTGGAATATACACATAATCAAACTCGTTGCATCACTCTCGAACTGTCGATCTATATTTTTTGTTCTGTTGAACAATCCTCTTTTTTTTTACAAATAAATTCATAATTTCCTCCCTAACCGTCTTCTTTCGCAGTTATTGCCGGCTTTGCAGGTGAACAACTTAGGAGGCCTAAAGAAGCGTCATTAGAGAATAAATTGCGATAGTCATCGCAAATCTTGCAACACGAGAGTGTGCAACACGTGATCATGATACTCTACAGTTATACCATATCTGCTTACTTATGATTATTGTGCTGACGCTATAGTGCTAACGGTGCAATTAATAACAATATGTTGCAATCATGAAAGATGTAAGATTTATAACGCAATTGCAATTACTGTATTTGCAATTTATCAACTTTGCATCGAGCGGCATTTTTACCTATATAATTTACATCAATCTATAAATTATATTGTATATTTCTGTTTATACAGAGACAATATCAAATCACTTTCTATCATTTTTTATAAAAATTTAGCTCAATATTTTTAACAGCTAAAAATAAAAAAATTTCAGACTAAATTTCTTTTAAACTAAAATCTAAATTAAAATAAATTTATAAAATATTTTGTTTCTTATTTATACTGTGATTTAATTTTAAATGTATAAATATTGATTTTTTTATTAATATCATAGTCTTTTATGAATATGTATTTGATTTTCTAATAAATATGTACATATAAGATTTATTTTAAACATTTTAATATGCCGACAAAGTATAAATTTTATTAATCAAATATGTTTATTAATATGATTTGATACATCAGCAATATATTTTAAATACAATATATTAATGTTCTTTTATGTATATTCCATTTTTTTCCTTCATCGAAGAACTATTTAGACTACTAATTTTGACATTAACTTTAACGTCATTTTTTTTGTAGAAAGTTTTGTAGAAAGAAAGTTGACGATGACTACCAACAAAACTAAAAGAAATCCTGGAGTCGTCTGTTTTATCAGCTAAACACAGTTTAATCGCAATCAAGAACTTTTTTGTATGGAATAAAAAATTCTTTTCCATAATTGAAGTACATACTCTAATATATTTCGCTATCTTGGTTTGTTAAAAAAGAAAAAAATTACGAAAATACATTTTTCTTTATCTACAAGAATGTTACTTCATAACAACATTTTGTTGACACGTGGTGTTCGGATTTTAGCACGAGACTCGATTGGTAAAGAGTTCATATGCGCTAGATGGATCGTTTTGACGTTTTAATCTACATGATTATGAAAGGAAAAAAATCGTAAAGAATTTAGATTTTACTCATTATGATTTTCTGATTTGGGTTACGCGGGATTTAACCGTAATAAAGTCGGATTGGGTTGGTCGTAGAAACATTTCCCATTTTCTGTGAGAATTTTAATGTATTTAAAGTATAGATCTTCGCAAACACGACATTCAGAAAGTGGTCGAAGCTGTGCGAGATAAAGACGGCAAATAATATGAAGTCTCGGGTAAAGGCGACCGACTGATGCGTAGTGTTTATTTTGTAAAACCACAAAATGAGGTTTTATATGCGATAGTTTGCTCGCAAAACAGTTTTCACAAAGACATTCTCTAACCATTGGGTTTACGTGGCTCGTTTCGCGAATGTAACGACCTAACAAATACCTACAGTTGGAATCTATTTAAAGCAAATAATTATCACGTTTTTTTAATTTAATTAATAATACACATTAATTTATTATTACACATATACGTCCGTTAGTGCTACGACGCATACTCCGGGATTTCCGCCAATTCCCATACAGCACAGAACATTGCAATTACATTGCAGCAATGTTACAATCTTGCAAGTTGCAATGTAATATTGTTGAGACATTATTGCAACCTGTAATTGTAATATTTCATGAGAATGTGACAGCAACATTCCAATAACATTGCAATAGCAATATTCGGTAATCGCTAGTTTGTTCGTTTACCGCTATGCGACGCGCGTTGCAAAATTTATCTCGTATTTAAGTTTTAGTCATGATGATTATATGAAACTTGCAAAGAGTGGCTAGTAAGATTAAAGACATAGTAATTATTTTTATCAATTTAATTTTTCTGATACGACCTCAACACAGGGAATTCAGATATTAAACTGATTGTTCAAAAATCGGACAGATAAATGTCCAAATAAATAAAAATATATGCAACATTATTCTAAGATTGCAATAACAATGCATTATTGCAAATTCATTATATTGCAATATTACTGTAATATTTCGTTACAATCTTCCTAAAAGCGGACATTTTAACGTTGCTGCAATCTCATAGCAATGATGCAACAACATTTTGCAGTGAATTTGCAATATTGCAACATTGCGATGAAAGATTGATGCAATGTGTATGCAATCTTTGTGTGCTGTATGGGTTAAAACTCTTGTAGAGTCAAACAAATCAGCTATATTCCGACCTGTTTTTGTTAACGTATTTATTAATGTTACGAAATAATTAAAGCGTGCGTCACAATCGCGGATAGGAAACGGACAAGATACATTTCGTGCGCGACACTTTGCTAAGGAAACCACACTTCCAATATTTAAATGGTGCCCGAGAACATTTTCAAAGTTATTTCACGCAAAGTCAGATAAATTTCGGCAATAATTAAAACATAAAATTATATCCGTGGCTCAATGCAGTTCACGAGTAGAAAACGGGAAGTTGAAGTCTTCGTTATAAATATTGATGCGGTATAATTTTTTGTCTTACATGCTAATTGTTTAGTCAATTTGCCTTTAGATAATCTTCGGTAAAATAAAAATTGAGTAAACTCATCGTTTTGTTGGCATAGTTTTTCATTTTGGATTATTGTTGGGAATCTGCTCGATTGCTGGAGGTCTCGGATCGATAGTGATAGGCAGCAGCCGCCAAGGAAGATACTGCTCACCCCGTGAAATATGGATTTCACTCGTTGCACTATTTTCACTATTAATTAGTTGATTACGGATTTCACTATCCGCGGCACAATTGTCATTCTTCACGGCGCGGTAACTTAATCTATTTACACACACAATTCGGCGACCAATCGACGGAGTTGGTTCTTTCTGCCGGCGTGACGTATTTTCGGCATTGGGCTATTACATAAAAGTAAAAAATATATGTTACATGTAATTGAACAGAAAGTTAATTATTATGATGCAGAATTATGCGCCTAATGCTGTACGTCGATGTGTGGACCGTCTTCATTATTAACGACAGCATATGATTATAAGCTTGTCCTCTCTACAATCAGAGGTAGTACGAATAATCTGCTGATATTATATTTTAATGATCTTGGTATTACTTTATAAAGTTACAATATATTGTCACTAGTGGCTCGTCCTCTCAGTGATGAAGTAGAACCAAGAATGTTAATAAGAAAAGAATTTAATTTTTAATTATTTAAATAAGTCTTTTTTATGGGGAATTTGGAGTAGGAGAAAAATTTGTATTTATATAAAAAAAGAAATAATTATATTCTGATAAATCTTACAATAACGTAGGATTATTAAAATCTAAGACAAGACTTATAAATTGCTAGAGTTCGCAAATTTATCGTTGGATTATTCTAAGTTATAGATTCTGAGAAAAATATAAGAACTTGTAAGAATGGTTTCATAGATGCGAGGTTTAGAATAGGGATTGCAAAGGAGCTGATTTCGACATTGTAGTTCCAAAAATTTTTTAAGAATTGAGCGGTGGCTTCAGAAGGCCTGTATTTATATGTCTTTTGGTTTTATGGAACAATTGTACCGTGTGCATACGCCTGACGCCAGAGACTCGCGTGGTGATATGATTACTGGTAAGAGTAATACGGTTATTCGGTTTAGATAAGCGGGCATCGGTTTATATACGAGCGTTTGATCTAACTATTGTGAGAACGACTACCCATACAGCACACAAAGATTGCATACACATTGCATCAATCTTTCATCGCAATGTTGCAATATTGCAAATTTACTGCAAAATGTTGTTGCATCATTGCTGTGGGATTGCAACAACGTTAAAATGTCCGTCTTTAGGAAGATTGTAACAAAATATTACAGTAATATTGCAATGTAATGAATTTGCAATAATGCATTGTTATTGCAATTTTAGAATAATGTTGTATATATTTTTATTTATTCGGACATTTATCTGTCCGATTTCTGAACAATCAGTTCAATATCTGAATTCCCTGTGTTAAGGTCGTATCAGAAAAATTTAACTGATAAAAATAGTTACTAAGGTCTTTAATCTTACTAGCCACTCTTTGGAAGTTTTATATCAGCATGACTAAAACTTAAATACGAGATAGATTTTGCAACGCGCGTCGCATAGCGATAAACGAACGAACTACCTAGGGAGAAATACAGGTCGAAGAAACGTCTAATAGACATCGTCTATAGACATCTATTAGATGACTATTAGACGTTTCTTCGACTTGTATTTCTTCCTGAGTAGCGATTACCGAATATTGCTCTTGTAATGTTTTTGCAATGTTGCTGTCACATTCTCATGAAATATTACAATTCAATGTTCCAATAATTTCTCAACAATATTACATTGCAACTTGCAAGATTGTAACATTGCTGCAATGTAAATGCAATGTTTTGTGCTGTATGGGTACATATATATAGAAGAAATCAAATTCCACAGTAAGACTGTAAATCTCTTGTGGAATTTGATTTTTTCTGTCCTATCTTTATTATTTTCATACCCACTTCCCTGATTTACCCGAATATATTCGAACAGTATTATTATATTTACCTTGAAATATCACAGAGAAGTGGTTAATATTATATAATGGATCAATAACTTTTTTTAAATTATTCTTTTGTGTATATTTATTTCAGTATCTTTATGGAGCTCACATCGAAAAATGTGGAAAGATTTTTACTCCAAACAACTTACAAGGCGAAATTTAATATATTTG